TTATTTGTGTATGTGCAATGAACCGTTGAACGATTCCTCAAGAGGCTACTAAGGCTGACCCGGTAGCAACCACACACCATCAGATCTCATATACTTCAACGTTATCCACGTGAAAACCGGCCATCTGTGTGACCATATCAGTTCGTTCGTATGTTGACCATGGTCGTAAATTCAAGACTTCGGGCATTCGCTGAAAGTATTCTGATTGGGACAATCAGACAAGTCATTTGCACCCAAAAGTCAATTTTCAAAGGCCGTTGTCCACCCTTGCGTCAATTCCATCTGGCACTCTTTCTTGACATTGTTTTTTCACCTTCCACATGCCACGTATCCGTATGTTTTGCATCGACGATCTTTGGAAGTGTCACCAGCTCACAGCTTGTCTTCTTGTTTAATTAACGAAATGAGTGCATGGAATACTGGTGCTAATACTAGAGTCTTGTTCGGAATCTTCGTTCAGCTGTAGCACTCTTTCGGTGCCTAACTGCCATGCCACCCGAAGGAAGCACGAGGGCTGGGATACTGCCGGGTTGCTCGACAGGAGAAGTCGAGAGGCAGAGATCGGGTTCGAACCACAGACCTTCCGGTCAGTAAGTTCGCGCTCTAATCACTTGGGCAATCTCGCCCCAATACTAGAGTCTGTCCAGACCCCAAAGTTCAGACCGTAGCTGCAGAGAACTGTTCTGGTCTGATAATTACAGACGATGTCAGACAGGAGCGAGATTGCCCAGGTGGTTAGAGCGCGAATTTACTGACCGGAAGGTCCGTGCTTCGAACCCGGCCTCTGCCTCTCGACTTCCCCTGTCTAAGCTTGGGCAACCTGACAGTATCCCAGCGCGCATGCTTTTTTCAGGTGGCATGGCAGTTAGGCACCGAAAAGATGCTACAGCTGAACGATTTTTAAAAAAATGTTTTGGAACGTCCTGTCTCTGAACATGCCTTCATAATCCCAGGTGAGGCACTGGAGGTCTTGTGGAGTTTGACATACCCCGGTAGTCAAGCTAGCCATGACAATAACGTATCTGACGAGGTTAATACACCAAGGTCCAGATTGTCGGGTCTCAAGGGTCGCCTGCATCGGACTACAGTGCGTGCGGTGTCGTCTGTTTGTCAGACACGTCCCTTTAGTTAGGCGGATTATTCGAATCTTCTGCTCCGTAACCGTTGGGGTCTTGAGGCCGTCGCTGATAACATATGGCGTGAGTGGATTTGTAATAAGTAGGAGATAAGTTCCTGATTGTGCAGTCGCGGCCGACATCAAACACCATAGAATGCAACGGTTAGGACATGTTGAGCCGTATTCTGCAGCGCACACCTTCAGAATGGTGCGAACTGCCACATAGACTACGTGTGATCTAATTGAATTGTATGGAACTACGAAGAGGTTCGGGTACTGATGATACCGTCGGTTGCCCTCTAACCCTACCTGTTCCTGGCTGGGGAAGTTGTCTGATATGTCGTCTAACCGATGTTAGCGTCGTTCGTGCTGTCAGTTCCTTTTCAGACCGCGCATGTGAGATTTTGGAGATGTAGACATCTCTGAATGATGTATCTTTTGCCGTCCTTTTCCGACTATGACGCCTTCTTACATATCAAAGCCACTCCTTGGTTGTGCGGCACTAAAGCATCAGTTTCAACACAAATGTTTCTCTCACTACGGCGACTGGTGAATTGTTACCGATGGTGGGGATGAGGGGCGGAATGGGTAGCGGTGTGAGACCTCCCACTCAGTGCCACCCGAGCGATTAAGCCTGGGGTTCACTTTCTGGATCCTGTTGAATCTATTGATATCCTAGGCTTTGTGGTTCGCAGTAACGTTATGCCTAATGATATATTTTGTCACTACGCCAGTGAATTACAGCGCGGAGGAAGGTCCGTGATCTGGAACTGATTAGAAGCGCAAAAAAGATACACGCGAAAAAAATACAAATCACAATGTGGTTTGAGGAGAACTGGAACCTATTTGAACTAGGAAAACAGGTAAGGATAACGTGATTTTGATGGAAAGGAGAAAGGGAAGAGTGGTGCCCTACAACAAGTGAAGGGATCTTGGTAGAGCTAGATGAATGAGTACGAAACCTCTCCTGCCCCCGGATTCAGTAGAATGCCAACTTGGTTCTGATTATGCGACTGATGTTTAGTTCATCTCATTCGGAAATGAGGAGTACTTAGTCCTTCCTAAAAATCAGTTTTATGTGGAGAGGCCAAAGTAAACGTCCTTTTATGTGCTCTATGGTAAGTTTTGTTCCTCTAGAACATTTGGCCTTCTATATGACCTACTGGCTGTTTCTCAGATGGCAGTCGGTCTGTTCGTTGTGCTTGGCGATATGACCCGGTGGTTAGAGCGCAAATTTACTGACCGGAAGGTCCGTGGTTCGAACCCGACCTCTGCATCTCTACTTCCCCTGTCTAGGCCTGGGCAATCTGGCAGTATCCCAGCCCTCGTGCTTGCTTCGGGTGGCATGGCAGCTAGGCACAGAAAGGGTGTTACAGCGCGACGGTTTTTTGGCTTTCTGTGTTGTCTTATATGGGGCTGGACAGCGTGTTTACTGTCCCTAGACTGGGTAACTGGAGGATGACCGCGTGATTTTTACTTCCATTGCTTACCAGGTGGCTCGGCGAAGGTTCTGTAACCAAAGATACGCTATCTGGACAATTGGTCTGGCTGCTCTGAAGGATCTATCTGGATGTCTTTAATCAAATATCGTAATCTTCCCAGAAGAGTGAAGTATCTCAGACCTCTGCGTGCGGTCGATGAGTCGGTCGTATCAAAGGACATTTTGAAAAAGCTGGATTTCAAGCCCGTAAAATCTATCTGTTTTTCTTTCAATCCGTTCGTTGGCCGAACAGAATCGATCAGGTACCGTTGCTCGGTTTATAATTGACTCGACCTGTGTGTTTTAGAGAGGCATGTCGTATCCTCAGCAATCCCCGTTGGAGGTCGACGAACACAAATTTGGTTTTCAAAGCCAGGGTCTTGTCGGATAACCATGCGCCGGTGATCGAAGTTGTATACAGTATGGTCTTTCTGGCTATTTTCATTTAATCACCGCTCTTGCAGGCAATGGAAATATTGTGCTCATAAAAACAGACAACCTTTCAATTCGGGAAATAATTGATATTATCTACGCCCAGTCTTTGGTTAATCCGCACGAATAGTTTTTGAATACATTTTTTTGTGCCCAAAATGCCTTTTTGTCGTTTTTTTGTATTCTATTTTTCTGAAAGCTACTTAATGGCTGCTGCATTATAGCCTGCAGAATAGTGTACTGGCTGATAGACAAATATGTCGGACTTGGATGACGGTTCTGCTTCGGCCACCGATGGCGATTCTGATGGTTGGACTGAATTGATTGATGCAGACTCACCCGATACGAACCCACCAATGAAATGTCTCGTTTGCCCGCACCTCTCTTCCGGCTCCGAACAGTTCTTCACTCATTTACTCTCGCATCCGAACTGGGAGAATCTGTTCGTCCCGGGAACATGTTTGATAATGGATCAGTACGACTGGATTCGATTCGTCAACTATGTTCGGCTGAAAGTGAGCTGTAGTTATTCTATTCGGGTCTTTTTTTCGCGAGGTAGTTACTTTGTGTTCCCTTGTATTATTGTGTTGGTAATAGGACTAACGCTCATATTTTTTTGGAATTCGTTGAACAATGGTGGATGAGGATGTACCTCACGAACCAAGGCATCAGCAGAGGTTCGCAATCACTAGAAAACGCTTCATCGAATCACTTTTTCTATTAATTCATCAGCCTGATGCTGTTCTCGAGTGTGCTAGTCATCGTAAGTGTAGGTTAAGGATGGTTGAGCTCACGGTTAGTCATTTTCCGTCTATTCACCACTCAATATTGCTTCGCAATGAGTAAAAGTAAGTCCTGCAACAAGTACGTCCCCCGATGTTTTGCTCCTTTCTTACTCGATTTGGCGGAACGAGTCTTGTTTCGAAGTCTACCAGTACTGTCAGAAAACAAATCCAGAGCCTGTAGGGACTCATTAGAGTGACAAACGTAAAGACACCAAAGAGCACGCACTTTGAATTATCGGGCTACCTCATGATGCAACTCGACCGCTTTTTTGGTATCAGGACTTGTTCCTCTCGGGGAACTGCCCCCCGCTGTAGAACGACTGCCAAAAAGTACCCAAACTCCAGTAAATTCATGATTATTTTCATTTCGACATACGCCATTCGGTGGATCGTAAGTTGCAAATCTTGAGCGTAGAGGTTCTCGAAGTTCTGTATGTTTCCATACCGGTGTGTCCGATAACCGTCTTACTGGTACTACTCAATTGACTCACAAGAGGTGCAGCTCTCCCTGTGGACCACTGTCCATCCATAACGCTGTCGAATGACGCTACGGTTGTTGTTTTTCGATCCTCAAAATTTTATCCGGAGTTTGATTGGATCGTACGAGCCACTGCGGCATCGTGATTACGGTTTACTTGGTTGGACCTGCACCGATAAGACGGACAAAAACAAGTACTTTGCTCGTGTCCCAGTAACGTTTGCAGAGTCGATGCATTTCCCCTCTCATGCGCCATGTTGTCTGTTCTGATTTCCTCATCAGAAAAACGGGACACACTTCAAATGAAAGATTGAAACATACGTTCCGTAGTGTTTGATGTTACTGCTAAACTAAATAGATCGGGTAGCTATTTGGGAGACATTTGTCCGGCTTTCGGAGAGATTTTCTTACAGCCATTTCTCCCCAAATCCTCGCTTTGTTCCAACTTTAAGTATGCTAGTGCACCGTTAATTGAATTTTAAACCTTCCGAGCATGTAGAATGAGCAACTGAACGGTGTATGTGATTCCAGAACTCGAAAGTGTGTTATTAGGGGGGAATACATGATATCCAGTTTGTTTGTCCAATGAGATGCGACCTGACTGTCCAGTTCAGCAAAGGAACCAACAACCAGCTGGAAGATTCTTCTTCCCACTCACCGTCAAGAACAGAATACTGTGAAAAAGGAACGCGATGCTTCAAACTTGTCACCTCAGCAACAGCAGGGTTATTTTCTTCCGACTGGATAACTTGAATTGGCCAGATTTCTCGTCCAGTCTCCATCTGATTGAGAATCTGTGGGGTACTTTAGAACACCAGCCGACGGATACATGGTGTGTGAGTTGACTGAATGGAAGAATATCAGTTCAACTATCATTGTGCCACCACGTTGTCCTGCAGTATTAGCGGGCTGCACTAATGTGACACTTCAGGAGAGTGCAGATCCTACAGGGGCATCATCTGGTGATGCAGGGAAATGATCACAGTAAGGGGACCAAGTTTTGTTCGTCGATTCTCTCCTCAGTTCGTGACAACTTCTAGGTCTCTGAAGATCGGGAACTCTATCTAGAAGTTTGGAGTGGCAGTGGTACCTCTACCGGCGTCAGCCGAGGCTGTTTAGGCTTCTATTCACTCACGAGATAATTTTGGTGTCTTTGAGAGTTCTATCTGAGGAAAGAATTATCATGTTGATCAGAAGAGCTCGTTGGCTTTTATGACTTGTTTTATTTACTGGGTTATGGGCATGCCAATCCAGAGTTCGAATCCTGCTTACTTCTCCCCCTAACGGATTATCTGCATTCATCTTTTGTGTGGACAATCCTCATACCCTAAGGTGATAATCCTATTCAGTTCTTGTAAAACAGAGAAGGCGCCGTACCCAAGTTTCGGTCAGCAGTTCATATCCCCGACCATGCCGAGCTTTACATCCCGGATGCCTGAAATGTGAAGTGATTTTGTTACGACCACTTCACCGGCATTGGCTGGACGTGCCTGGGTTCTCCATTGGTTTCCTCGATAATAATAAAAGTAATAATAATAATAATCGTCCAGCTGTAGCACTCTTTCGGTGCATAGCTCCCATGCCGCCCGTTTAAATACTGTCCAGTTGCCTAAGTTAAGACGCGAGTAGTCGAGATACCGAGGGTGGGCTCAAACCTCGGCAACGTTTTGCATATCAGTTGTCCGGGGTTCGAATCAAGTTAGCGAACCCTGAATGTGGTGATTCCTTTTTTTGATGTGGATTAAATAGAATAATTTTACAAAACCGGAAGAGGATTGTTCAAACGAGACTGATAAAGATGCCAATTCTACAAATCTCCCGACTGTATACAACTGAACTGAGGAATAAATTAACTTTTAATGCAGATCAGCAATAATTAATTACCCAATCTCCGTTTTCTGGATTGTTAGGCTTTACCAAGTCTATCTGCAGACGGCCACACATGATACAGACAATTGCAGAACGCAGCAGAAGTTGGACGCTTGGTTTTCCACTCCATTTGTTCAACACGTTTAACAGTACTTGTGGAGAGCCCCAAGGGGTGATGGCGCCTGTTATTCCGCAATTGCTTGTTGTTGCAGTAGACTATGGGACGAATTTCATTCGACAGAGCTCTTAAGTCTTTCCAGTTGAAGTATTTTTGAAAAAAACTTCTTTGGAGGAAGGACAGTGTTGCAGTCGTAAGACAGGCAGGTCTTCAGTGAGGCGATCGAAGTGATCAAACTATCTGCTACATTAGGCTTCGGTCACTGTACGTCGGGCTTAGCGTGGTACAGTTTGATAACATATTAGTTAGTCCACCCAGCCAGTTTTATCCTCAACACAACTCAGTCGCATTCACTCTCAACTCGCATTAGTCAGTGGTGAGGCTTCACTAAGATTTATCTTGGTTGTAAATCCCACGTCAGTTGATCAGCTGACGCGTCGTATCAAACGGTCTGACCAACGAAGCCCTGTGTGTATTACTAGTGACGTGACACGGACCAACACTGGTCTACATTTTGGAGTGTTTTAGACCGGTCTGTCTCACTTACTGATTAATGTGTATCACCATAAACAGCATAGTTGAGCGTGCTGTTGGTTCAGTATGTCGATACATTCGTCTATTGAATTTCTACCTCGTTTTGGTAACTGGCCTCGATTCGGTAAACACGACTGGCTCGAACAC